AGGAAGTGACTCGTTCAGAAGGGAGAATCCTGGGCATGGGAGCAGTGCGTAAGCTTCCCAACACCAGTCGCTTTCCTTCTGCTTTTCTAGTCCTGCCAAGAGCAAGCCGTTTTAAGAGGCGAGCCAGGACTCAGGAACCAGGAGGCCCAACCCGGGAACCAAGCCCGGGAGCCAGGAACTGTGAGAACACGGAAGAGCCGGAGTCAAACCACTGCTCAGCTGAAGTTCCAGTCTGGACAAGGAGCCTTTCATAGTCTTTCTTGCCAGGAGGGCCAATTTGGCTAGACAAGAAGCTAAGAGAACTTCACTATGGGGCAGATGGTCAAGAGGCTGCCCCGAAAGCTGGACACAGGACCAAAGATTCCCAGCTCTTGACACTTCTCAGCCCGCTTCTTCCTGGCACAGCAAACACAGATCTCAAAGAGCAGCCAGGGGTGGGAGATGGAGTGGGTAGAACGGCATGCAATGAAAGGGCCAAGCACTCTGCCACTTCCCCCCAGTCTCCCCCAAACACTTGCCGCCATATTTATTTATTTATTATTTATTAATTAAGAGCTTTTCTATCCCGTCCCCTTCAGAATGTCTCGGGATGGCCTACAATACTGCCGTACTGCAGTGCACAGGAGTGGCCCTTTGAGCACCAGTGGGGAACAGGAGACCGCCCCCCGCTCCGCAAATGTCGCTGGACCACACACCCCATCATCTCTCAGCACTAGCTAGTCTGGTTAGCGCCAATGGGAGTTTGAGTTCACCTCCCCCACACACCTGGAGGCATTCCATGATTTGGGATACGGAGCTGGTCTTTGACCGCAATAGAGTTTTTATCTATCCCGGGATTTAGATAAAGTTGAAGGAGAATCACACTCCGTTTTGCACACTGGCTTGGAAATGGCAAATGGGACAAGCCCCAGTGAAAATGCAGACTCCTTGAGTGTTGCCCCCGTCCTGAACAGGGCAGAACGATCAAGCAATGGCTGGAATGCTGTGCTCGCATCCTGACAAGCACATGGCACGGACCGAGCATGCAAGGGTTCAGCGTCCAGTTCACAGGGGCTTGGTAGCCAAAATCTGGCCTCAGGGTGCTTGAATGACCCTCATGACAACCAGTGGTGGGCTCGTGTCTCGTCCCATCACGACTTGCTGGGCGATTTCCATTCACAGCACATGGGAATCAATTCCTAACCCAGTAAGAACAAGAGAAGCCGATAAATCGCGGAGCTGTGGTTTCTGTGCTTCTGATCATTCACGCGCTCCCTTGAGCTCAACGGCGAGAAAGGCAGCGCTTAAAGGCAAGAGCTCTGTGAACACCACCACGCCCTTACTGCTGTAAAAGACAGGAATGTCTTCCACATCTGCGAGATGTTTTATTTGCTCTCTTCTGGCAGGGGGCGGGCGGGGAAGATAGCATCTGGATGCTGCGAAGGAGGGGGAAACAGCAGGCTGTGTTTGGAGATCTTGGAAGAGGTCCCTAAATGCCTCACCCCCTGGAAAGCCCCAGCTTTGTCTGGCTCTGGGCGCAGCAGCATCTGCCTGATATCAGAGCCCGTGGCTCCAGTCCGCATCCTCATTGCCTATCTAGCCACAAAACACCCCTTGCACCGAGGAAAGGGGCCAAATCCACCAAGCTGCACAGGTCTGAAGTCGAGAATCAATGCCACTGCCTGGAACAATGATCGTGTGAATGTGTCCGGAAGCTGAGACAGAGGCAAGGAGCAGAGCAAGAAAGGGAGGAAAGAAGAGGAAGGGCGGTCCAGCAAACTGGACACCCTGCACTGTCCTCAGGCATTTGCCTTTCTAGGCATACAAGTCCCAGCCACACGGTTGGCCTGTTTGCAGCACATGCTTATGAATCCCATCTCTGCATTGCTTAGAAGGATTTTACTCCTTGGTGTCTGACATGCCCCCTAACCAGCCAAGAGGCTCCAGTGGTGGGATTTGGCTCTGCATTTCATTCACTGGACACTGAGCATCCGAGATCGGGAAATGGCCTGTTGCATCAGGAGGACCAACTCCAGCCCTGCCTTTTCAGCCACGTGATCCACGAGTCAGTGTGGAATGGGGACGAGAGTGTTGGACTGGGGACCTGCAAGATCTGGTTCTAGTCCCCACTGGGTGACTTTGGGCCGGTTACAAACTCTCAGCCCAACCTACCTCAAAGGGTCGTTGTTGTGAGGATAAAATGGAGCTCTGTCAGCTGCTGTGGGCGCCTCATGAAAGGAAAAAGGGTGAGATAGAAATGCAGTGAATTAATAATAATCCGGCCACTGGTTAGATGGGTTTGGACGGCCTCCTGTTGGGCATACTGGATCATTCAAGAAAGCCTGGCATGAGAGACCGTCATGTGTGGGTAACATTGGTGTATATTAAAGTGCCACACTAACTGTTTGTTAGATACATTTCAGCAAAGTTAAAAAGGCTCCCTGGGAGCTTACTGGAAGTGCTCTCGTTTGGGTTGATTCATGCTAAATTAGCATTTAAATTTACATTAGCCAATGGGATTTGTAAATAGAGTTGGCTAACCCTGCAACCTTTTATGGGCAATTATTTCAGGATGGAGGACGGCGATCTTCGAATAAAATAAAATAATTGGGGCTCACTGGGCTTTGCTCGCCGCAAGGGTATTCTCTGGCCTTTCTTTCCAGCCTTCAGTTTGATTAAGTTGTCAAAAAATAAAACAGTTAGAATCCTGCAGCCCGAGAAGTGGCGCACGGGCTCAGTTCCATACGGAAATTTGCCCTCTCCTTCCTTGTTAGGTCCATCTGATTTCGTTCTCCGCTTCTCAGCCTTTCTAGTCCTGCATTTACCCACCATCTTTCTCAGTCTATAGATCTTCCACTGAGCTCATTGCCTCTAAGCTTGTCCTTCCCACCTGGAAATTCTTTCTAGTCATAGAATACAGCCCCAGAGTCGTAGAGCTGGAAGGGGCCAGTTGGAAGGGGCCACTGGACTCCAAGTCAAAGCACGCCTAACCGATGCTTGCCCAGCTGCACCGTGGGAGAGCCCACGACCTCCAGAGGTCATTGGTTCCATTCTCAGGTTGCCTAACCAGTCAGAAGTCCTTCCTGATGTTCAACTGGGATCTGGCTCCTTGAAACATCGTTCCATCTCCTGCACCCCGGGATGAAGAGCGAGATGAGAAACTGCCCCCCCAAGAGCCCTCCTCCCAGGACAGACCATTTCGCAGCAGAGGTCACCCCCTTGCCCCCTGCCTGATAGCAGTTCCATCCACTCAGCCTGTTTTTGGTGCAGAGATGCTAACGAGACACCCGGAGCTACGGATCCTTCCCTTGCTTTACAGACCCACTTAGGAGGAACTAATCACTGTATTTATGTATCGAAGACACAAAGCATGGAAATGGGTTCATTATCCCAGTGCTGTCCTGACACGGATACTAAAAGGCTTTGTTAAACCTTCTGAAACCTCGAGTGACTTTGTCAGGCCCAGCGCAATAAAGCTGCAGAAGTTTTGTTTTGCCTTCACAGCCAGTCCTGCTTAAAGGACGTCTCTCGATTCACCTCTCCCACGCGCCCTTGTATTTCCATCCCACTCTACTCGCTTGTAAGGCCAATTCTTCCTAGGTAGCTGTCTGAAGATCATCACGCCCATGACATTGATCGCCATGTTAGCTTTTCTACTTTGCAACTGCCTTCTTTGCTTTCTAGGATTTTCCTCTTCATTCCAAAAGAAACCACCTTGATGCACTTTGCCAAGCTTCAAAATTGCATCTGCATAGTTCGTCTCCAATTCAAAACCACTCCCTGGTCTCCTTGAAGTTCTGGTCCAGCCCACCCAGGTTGCATCTCCCTTCTGGGCCAAACTTCCTTTCTTACTGCTGATCAGGTTCTGGTGCCCCAGCTCTGGACTGGCCAATTCTGTAAGGTCAAAATGCCTTACTGGAAGGGGGAGCTTCAAGCAAAAATATGCTGGTCTTTCTGGGATCTTGCTCTCACCCCTTTTGTCTTTGGTCCAGCCCACCACTGGAATGTGGCCTTCAAGAGATGCATGGAACAGAATTTGGCCCTTGGGATGAAGGAGATTCAGCACTAATATAAAGCCCAAATTTTGACCCATATTCCATGTACGGAAGGCAACCGGATTAGCCACCTATTTCAAGGTCTCCCGATGGGGGGCGGGGAGGCTAGTTGTGGATGGTGGGTCGACACACAGCTGGCTTTCAACACTCTACAAGCGAGTCCCATTTTGGAACTTTGCCCAAAGAAACACACACCTTCAGCTAGAATGCATTTGGCAACTACTGCAGCCCAGTCCTGAATCCATCCTGCCACCATCGGATAAATGGCCCAGCTGAGCTATTGGAGCAACCCATCCTCCCAAAAGAAGGGATGCCCACCTGGCATTCAAACCTAGCCTGAACACACGAGGCTGAAACCATCTTCCAACTGTCTTGACCAGGTGAATGTCTGGCACTTTGTACATGCAGAAGAAAAAGCACAGGAAGACGAAGGAGAATTCTGGCCAATGCCAAGTTCACCTTCAACTCATCAAAGTGTCTGGAATAGGAAGGGCTTTAGGTCTTCATTGGGGAACACATTCTCAGCCCAGAATTCTCAGAGAACAGAGGCAAGCAATTCACTGCCTTTCAGATGTTTTGAACTACAGATCCCACAATGCCTAGACCCCTGGCCATGCTGCCTGGGGCTTATGGGAGATGGGGTCCCAGACATCAGGAGGCAGCCAATTGCCTAGCCAAGGTATATTCATTTGTTGTGCCCCTTTCGATGCATGCAGCAGCTGTCTGTTGTGTGTATGGGGGAATCTGGGACCGAGGCAGGGAAAAGTTCAGGCCACCACCCTGCAGTTGGTGAGACCTCCCTCCCAAGCAATCACACGATCACCCATCGCATACATAGCACAGACCATCTCTTGGCCTCTCGCCCTGTCCATTAGTGGCCCATTTCCCGGCCTCAGAAACAGCAAATCACCATGTAGCCTTCTATACTTGCTTAGGAAAAACAACAGACATAGACTCTTCACTTACTTCATGGGCTTAAACAAGGCTTGTCCGTAGTTCTGGAATGTCATGATCAGTTTCAGCTGGGTGCCTCCCGACTTCATTGCTGCAGGAGAAAGCAGAGGAAGCAACATTGAGAAAAACGGTTCCGCCGTCCTGCATTGCATCTAGCAATGTCGGTACTACAATCTCCCAGCTAAACATCTTCAGAGAAAGTGAGGTTAGTTAGAACGCGGCCTGCACGAAACGATACAAGAAGAAGCACCGGCAGAAAACAGAAAACCCTGGAGGCCATTTGGACTTGGGTGGGAGATTCACGGAAGGTAGCAAAAAGGGCTTTTCATACAACATACTGTTGGATGATGGAGCCACCATTTCTTGAATGAGCAGCACTGCTGCATGGCACCCAGGGTCCAGCGTTCAGTCCACACTCGGGTCAACCAGCTGCCTGCGGGATACCTGGAAGCAGGACCTGACTGCAGCATCCCTCCCGCCCATGTTCCCCAGCAACTGGTGTGCACAGGGATACTACCTCCAATAAAGAAGGAAGCACTGGGCCATCAGAACGTAGCCATGGACACTCTCCTCCGTGATTTTGTCCACTTGCCTGATGCCGGAGCCACCACTAAGTGAATTCCACACCTTCTGAAGGCGTCTTCCTTGGATCTGTCCTGCGTCTCCCACCCACCAGCTTCATGGGATGGCCCCGCTGAGAATTATGGGAATGGGATAAAAATGCCTCATGCCCCATTTTCTCTACACCATGTATAGTTTTGCGCACCTCTGCCATGTTCCTTCTTACCTATTTTCTAAACTAAACAATTCCAATTCCAGGTGGCATCACCTTTCCCCATAGGAGAGTCGCTCCAGCCACTTCTGCCCCTTTTCCCCTTCTACAATACCATTTTTTCAGGTGCAGTATCCAGCATCCAACATTATTTTCTTTTCAGTGCCAGGCAAAAACCTTCTTATTTGCTCAATATTTTAATATTCTAACTCATTTTAATCTAATTATTCTCAGTCACAGTTTTTTATGTTCGTTATGTAATTTTATTCTGTTGCTTATGTAATTTTATTTATTTATTGCAATTGATTAGTATGTTGTAAGCCTTCCTGGCACGTTTGAGAAGGACGGGGTAGAAATATTGTAAATGAATTAATAAAATGAAAACTGCACACAGTATTCTAGCTGGAGTCACACCATAGCACTGGATATGTGCACTGTGATATTAGTAGTTTTCCTTGCAATTCCTCTCCTGATTATGCCCAACACAGAGTTTGTCTTCTTCACAGCAGCCATGTGATGATCAAGGGTCTCTGTTTCACAAGCCCCTCCTGGGTGGGGGGGCCCTTGGCAGGCACCCCCCGCATGCTTACCCAGGATTCCAACCCTGTTATGACAGTTCTTTTTGCTTGCTTGCTTCAAATTCTCTACTCAGGAGAACCCCTGAATACCAGACCAGAATTCTGCTCAAAGACTCCCTCCTCACGCCCCAAAAAGTTATCCGCACCCCAAACATCCTCTTAGCATCAACACAAATGCAGCATTTGCTGTGATTTCCACAGAGTTGCGCACATGACTTGAAATCACCTTGCAGGCATGTGTTAAGGGTGTCTGTACGGTGAAATTCAGACATTTCTCCCTTTTTCTCAATGTACACACATTGACACAATCAAACGCCCACTGCCCTGCATGTATCAAACCACAATTTAAAACCAGGCACATCTTGCATTTATTCCAGAGTAAGATTGCGTGGACTATATCCAGAACATCTTTTTTGCTCTTTGAATCACCACTTGGGCTCTTTGTTATTTTGGCTGCAACAGATTTAACCCTGCTGCCCCCTAAAAACCACACCTTGACATTCTTAGAAGCTGCTCATGTTAGTCATCTTGGCATGGGCAATTTTGTTCTTTCTGTAAAAAACCCAAAATCCTACCACTGAAAGGTCAAATATCCACTTCTTTAGAAAGCCAACAAAAGTCCGGATTAAGGAAAAAACCAAGTTACACTGTTCAGATATTTTGCTTCAAGTCTCTCTGCCTTGCAAGTTTACTCTTTGTTAACCAGCTGTGTTACCTATCCATCCATTTGATTACTGTTCAGGTTACAAGCTTGCGAGCTCTTCTTTCTTTCTTTCCCTGTGCAATAAAATGTTATGCAAATCTGGTCAGTTTAATCACTCTTCTGCCCCAGCAAAACAGTCCCTTGCTGTTTTGCTGACCCCAGCCTTCTCTTGCATTACCAGCTCATCCCACAGGAACAAATAAATAATTAGAAATTAAAGGGCATTAAGCAATTTGCACTGAATAGGCAGAGCCACAACGTCTGGATTTCACATATTAGATTAAGTCAGTGGTGCTGAGTAAGCCAAATTTTGGAGTGCATTTAAGGGTACACAAGCACACTGCAGCTGGGAACACGAACACACACACACACACACACACACACACACACACTTTCCAATTTCAGAAGCAGCTGCAGTTATTGTTGTGTCTGTTGCAAAGCAAACACTCTTCTTATCCACCACATTCCTACAATTTGGGGTGGCCATGTGTCCTGTTTTACCGGGGACAGTCCTTTGTTACATGGGTTTTCTCAGAAGTTTTCTGGACTTTCCCAAAATGCGTCAGACCCCAGCTTGCTGGGGGACTGGAAAAGTTAATGGAGAGCTTACAGGTGCCCTCCCGAGACAACCGTGCGGCAGCTCCCAGCCACCATGGCTGTGCCGTCACCAGCACTGGACAACCTTGGAGAACCTTCTGTGGATCTCCTCCCTCAACGAGTCTACCTTCTCAAAACCATGGCCACCAGCTGCTTTGGATCCTCATCTTTTCTCCCAACATTGCTATGGCTTCCTTGCTCGACAGGCAAAGAGCCTGTAGTCCGCCGGCAGTGACCTCTCTCCACCTCCTCCTCATCACCACCACCAAATAAAGAAGAGGCAGGTTATAATAATGAAGACTAGGAGCAGGGCTGTCAATGGGACCATGATGGAGCAAGGACCCACAGCAGGTTCCCTGGCATGCCTACCCTTGAAGCCTGCCCCTGGTCATGCATTCTTCGTTACTCTTCATCGCATTTCTATATCTTCTGTAGCTGAAGCTTCACAACATCAAGTCACCCATCCAGATTTGAACCAGGCCCAGCCTTGCTTAGCTTCCAAGATTAGGCAGGATCAGATACTTCAGGCACACCAGCGACGGCCATGAGATGGTACTTTCTGGGGCCCTTCTAATACCTGGAGCTGGCTTAACTGGACAACTGGTCTTTGGCTATCATCAATGAGATGATGGGTTCTCAAATGACCCTCGTGTCAAAGAGTACAGAAATGAACACACCAAGGACCCTCCGGAATGGGTTTTGCATCCTTCTGGCAAAGATGACCGATAACTTTAGGGATCATCCACCAGGCACCCAGGAGATATTCTTAGGGAATGTAAATTAAAATGCACAGATAAAAGAACGAAAGCAAATGCAAACAGATCTCCATACTTTTATACCAGAAGATGCAACAGTAAGAGGACTCGGACGCTGCCAAGGGTGAATGTGGATCAATACAGAAGGAAAATCTCCAGCGCTCGGCACAGCCCACTGAAAGCACCTATGTTGATTTCCCATTATTCAAGGGGAAAAGGTAACCTCCCTATTAAGGGAATGGGCAAATAACGTGAGCAAACCGGTCACTGGCATTTCTCCTTTTGTTAATTAATTCCTTGTATCATAGGCGATGATATATTGAAAAACAGATTGTAAAGACTTCTAACTTTCACATCTGCCTTTCCCTGCCACTTCACACACAGTGTTTCACATTCTACACGCTTCCAGCATGTCACACAAATCTTGTTCCCAAACACTGTAATTTTCCAAAATTCACAAGCCGGTATTATGCTCGCAAAGTAGTGACACTGCGTACCAAAACATCGGAGCCATCATTTTACTGGCAAAAATACACAGTTGCAGTGTGACCTCATATTAAGCAGAAAGCTGATATGCAGAAACACATGATGACCGGTTCTCGGTCTACTGTATGATGTTACCCTTGGGGGGAATGTGGAACTTTGTGGTGTGGCAGAAAAGAGGAAGACAGTCAAGTGCCAGAATTTGGCCCAGTTGACCTTCTCTCTGTATCCATGGGATAGGGCCCAGATAATGTGTGCAAAGGCACTGCAGTTCATTATTTGAGCTGGACCAGGTGCTCAAGGGAACCTGTATGATGTGTGTATGGCCTTACCTTTCCGTCAGGTACATTTTCCCAATAGAGACATGTTGTTAAGCACTGACCTGTGACCACAGTCACTGTGAACTGGTGGTTGGATTGCTGCATTGGGACTTGGGAGATCTGGGTTCGAGTCCCCGCTCTGCCACGGAGCTCACTGCGTGACCCTGGGGCCTTTCAGACTCTCGGTCTGACCTACCTCGCAGGGTTGCTGTTGTGAGAGCCAGTGTGGCATGCTGGCTAGGGTTTTCATCTAGGATTTGTGCGATTCAGGGTATAGTCCCCACTTGGGCATAGAAACATAGAAACAGAGCGAGTCAGAAGGGGCCTCCTGGGCCATCTAGTCTGACTCCTGGCTCCGGTGTCTCTGCCCACGACATGCCCACCATGCACATGTCCAGCCTATCTTTGAACACCCTCACCGATGGGGCCTCAACGAACACCCTCAACGATGGGGCATGAAGCTCCTTGGGTGATGCTGGGCCAGTCACAGACTCTCAGCCTGACCTACCTCGCAGGGTTGCTGTTGTGAGGAAAAGATAGGGTAGAGCAGAACAATGCAAGCTGCCTTGTGTTCTTCATAAGGGGAAAAACAGTGGGATATAAATCTATAATAAGGTAGTGGCTTATCTATAATAAGGCTCACTACGCAATCCAACCTGAGCAGCAATGCCTCCCCTGCCCCAAATATGGTACCCAAATAGGATTGTTTCAACCCCCTTTGAGCTTTCCTCTCTCCCAGATTAATTCACAGCACAGTGGCAAAATGCTCTGAATATGTGTGCAAGCCTTTCACAAGTTTACACCCACACAGGAGGAAGGCATTAGTCCCTGTGTAGTCGTAATTGTGTGGAAGAAGGGAGCTGGGCGCTACCTGCTAGGCCCC